AGGGTTTCCAGGGTTTATACTATACGGAGCCAGGCCGGATGTCTTTCTCTCGGCTGTTTGCGTGCTCAAGTTGAAAAGCCAAGTTTTTAGGGCAGGGTCTGGGGTTTGAGGTTCGGGGTAGCGGGGAACCCACAGCTTCGGCGCAAGATGAGGCGCAGAAAGAAGTCCCATCGGCACTTCTCGTATGGGACCACCGTTGCCTCCACTTCGGTCTGAGCTCCCACGACGCTGGTCCTGGGACTCTCGAAGCTAAAGAAGCCCTAAAGAAGCCCCGTCAAAACAAAACCCCCGAAGACTCACTCTGTTCACGCGGACTTAGGGCGCAGCTTATTCACTGCTTGAGCTTATCAGCAAACATACGAGTACACAAGAAAAGGGAAGAGGGGGTTCCTTCATTCCTTGAAGCCGACCCTGAACTTGAAGACAGAAGATGCGGAACCTATGGGAGGAGGCGGGTTCTGAGTTGTGGGCGATCTGGCTCTCCTTTGTGGTATGCTTCTTCTGGTTTAGGGTACATAAACGGCACATGATTATAATTCAACCCCCACGTAGGCACCCAGGCACATGCGACTGAGCTGAACCAGTTCCAAGCAGCCCCCCATGTTTCATACATCCAAACAGCAAGAAACTGGGTAGATTTAGGAAGGAACCCTTCCTATCCAGGACCCTCAGGTAAGAGTTTGGGATTGGTGTGTAGGACTGTCTGGAAGTTGTCAAGGTTTAGAGTCCAGAGTCAAAGAACCGTCTTGGAGTTTAGGATTTGCCTAAACCCAGTTCGTTTTCAGCAAAGCTGCTTGCCCGACTTGGGCGAGGGCGAAGTATCCACCAGCGCTTCTTTCTCTTCTTTGTCGGAACACGGGTCCGATGCCGGCGCATCCTTGGCACAGAGCTTAGTGTTGAGGGTTTGGGGTTTAAGGTTCATGGTTCAGGCAACGGCTGGGTAGGACCATGAATGCTGGCTTCCATTGGCTCCTAAACCCCGCGTCCTAAGCTACTTAGAGCTGCTGCCAGGATGCGCGGGATGACTTCATCACCCGCAATGCGCTACAAGCGCCGCATCTAAAAGTCTACAATGAGCTGAGCCAGGGTATGGCCGCTGAAGACACGAACTTTCGATGCACGTTCATGACCACACCAAGTCTTTGTAACTGAAGGCAAATTTGAGATGCCAGTACAGATGTCTAGAAATGTCAAGGGTCTGGAAGCCTAAAAGAATCGAAAGGCGATGAATGGAAAGGACCGTGGAACACGTTCGAACGTCGGAGCGCGGCGTACATGTTCGGATTCTTCTCGGGATGAGGTTTAGGGCTTGACCCCAAAGCAAGCCCCCATCAAAACTTTCGATGACACTGCAGTAAGGATGTGAAGGGCGCTTAACCCCCCCCACTCCCTGGGGGCACCAGGAGCACCAGCGCACGGTGCCATCGCTGGCGTGCGTGGAGGCCTCTCCGATTCTGGGCTCTCGGAGAATTTAGAGCCTGAAAGTTTTCGGCCGCTGAGCCTCGTTTACGAACCTTCAGCCGAACCAGAACCCCAGAGCTGAAGGTTTAGGATTGTGGGTTGAGGGCTTCGTCTTTGTTGAAGGATTTATGTGAGACTTTGGGACTTTAGGATTCCGGAACGGCGCCCCTTAATGCAAGGGTCGCAGGGCCCCAAAGCCCTCTCTTAACCTGTGAACGGCCCCAACTTCCAGCCCCCTCAAGAACCCAGCTCCTGAAGTCACAAGGGAGTCACAAGGGAACCTTTCTAGGGATAGAGGGCTCAGAAGGTAGGGGGGTAGGGCTGGATTTCGGTATCGGGGATCTGGGGACTTGAAGATGTAGGGGGGTACCAGCAGAATGGCCTGCCGCAAGGTGGAAGGAATGTCTCCTCCCAAGCTCCCGGGCCGTGCTGACTGAAGACTTGGGGTTTAGGGCTTCGGGGGCTTTCCCAAATATCCCACCCTAAACTTGCACCACCCAAGCCCAAAATATTCTGCTGGAGTGAGCACGGCCTTGCATGCCAAACACTATATGCCAAACCCCTCAACTGACTGCAGATTGGTCATGTTAGTAGGGTTGTTGCTATTTCCTTCCCTAACCAAGAGTAAAGCCCTAAACCCCCGAAGCAGGAACGACGCAAAGGCAGTGCTTCGCCGTCCTTGGGGCCTCTGATGAAGTCTCTCCGGCGCCCACTTGAGGCCTGCGAGCGGTCGGACTGCAACTTAAAGAAAGCTTTGGGGCCTAGGAGTTATATAGGGGCTTCGGGGTTAAGAGAGGGCGTTGCAGGTTCCAGGGGTTAGGGTCAAGGGTTTGAGCGTCCTTGACCCCATTGGAGCGTGATCTATGCAGTTGGAAGATTGGAATGCCGTTTGGATGTCAGGACTTTGGGGTTCTTTACACAAGGTTGCTCGCCCTGTAGAATGGCCTTCGTCGTTTCACTCACGTTCGTGGCATGGGCCCAATCCAGCAGAAAGACTAAAGCAGTTGGTAGAACATCGCACTTCCGTCGGCCTGCCTGAAAGAAGTTTAGTTCGGCCTTCCCCCCACTCCCACCTTGTCTGGTAGATGCACATATCTGGCTGCAGTCGGGCCTGGGATCACAAAGTCCATCAAAGTCCAAATCCCAACTGCAGACTCGGCATGCTCGTTTCGAGTGACGGGCTGGCGCAGGGTTCAGGGCTTGCGTGCTTGTGGAGCAAAGTGTGATGTGCTGGGGCGTCGGTTGTAGGGAACGAGAAATCATGTGTCAAAATTGAGAGGTAGAAGGCCAGGCGCTCACCTTTCCCAAGGCTTGAAGGTCCGGCCTACTAGCTCTACCTCTTGGCCTGCACTAGCTGCAGTAACAACTACCCGATCGTCACAACCCTGAACCTGAAACCTTCCCAGCCTCGGTAGGCGTTAATATCGACTCGGGCGCCATCCACGTCTGCACGGGAGGCCAATGACAGCAGGGGAAGTTTCAGCTTATCCGGTCTATGAGCACTGCATGCACCCCCAAGCCAAACGACTTAAACACCTGCTCTTCCAAAAGCAAACAAAAACTGAACCCTGAACGCCGAGCCACTGCAAAGTTGCGAGGCGCCTTCTCCGGCCTTCGCTGCGCCATCGTCCGGAGGAGGCGAAGGGCAAGTGCCCATTCGCAGCTCCTTGCAGCTGGTGCTTAGGGTTTGCGGGGTCTAGGGGCGCTTTCTTTTCTCAAAGCCAAGTTTCCCAAACCTTCACACGCAAAATACATTGTAGCCCAGAAAATGGGACCACTAGCTTTGTACGCAGGCCAGTCCGCCTGGAACAAAACCTCAACTCAACGCCTATGGCCCTAGGGCCCTAGGGGTGGAGGGCTCAGGGCTTAGAACTCGGTGCGATCGGCCGAAAATCCAAGGTCACTCCCTGGGCCTCTGTGGGTGTCGAGTAGCAGTCGTCGGAGCGATGTTGTCAAACCATTCAATTGAAACTGCGAATTCTTTACTTGCCACCAGTGAAGGCATCACAGGCTACCACCCAAACCATCACCCACTGCCGTTGGTGTCGATCGCTGTCGCCATTGCCCATGGTTTTAGGCCAATAGGTCTGCGTGCGCGGGGTGCCCGGCAATGACGCTTGTAGAAGAATCCGAGTACATTTTGGGCCCAGCAGGGGCTGGGCAGGGGTGCGCATGGAGGCACAGCTGTTTTCGACCATTCTCCACAGTGTATCGGCTGATGTCTTCTAGGAAAGACCCAAACAGGCCAGGCCAGGTGAAAGTTTACGCGGGTTCAGGATTCAGGGTGCAACTCGCCAGGAATCGCACAGCAAGAAGGCACCGCTTCCTGATCGCAGTTGGCATGCTCAACCTCGTGGCAGGAATAGGGTTGGGAGTTTAGAGTGTAGCTTCAGAGTTGAGGGTTTTCGGCTCGGGCGTTCAAGTTTTGAGGCTTTTTGGGGCTGAGGGCTTGGCACGATGGGCAAAATCTTCGCTATGTGTTTGTGTCTGCGTGCTTGCTCCTATTAAGCCCTGAACCCCAAACACGTCAAAGACTTAAACCTCACCTTAAGCCGGAGTCGTGGGCTCTTTTCCGGGGCAGGGGCCTTCTTCGGCAGCCTTTGCCAGGGAAACTCTTCGCAAGCAGCTTTCTTGTCCGGTGGATTTGCGAAGAGCTCGAAGCAAGAAAAGGACAAGTCCCAAGCCCTAAAGTCTCAACACGCAGCCTCAACATCCTATATACACCCTAGCCCCTTATGCCGCAAGAACGAACCGGCCTAAATCCCTCGACCCTCAACGCGAATTCGCGAAGACATCCATGCTCAGCCACACGCCATTCGTTGCCGCCGGCTGCTTTGGCCGAAGCATGGCGATGAACAAGTTCGCAGTGCAGACTGTAGGGTCAACCCTAGAACTTGAGACGGGCTTCAGGTGAGCACCCAACCAGCTTTCAGGCCAAAAAGATTAACCTGCACTTCAAGGCTTTTAGAAGGACTTGACGACCTTGGGCTTTTGGATTCGGAATACAAGGTTTTGAGCGGTGGGGTTGGAAGGTCAGGTCTTGGAATTTGCCTTGGTCTGGCAGGCCTTGGCAAGCAATTCTGAGTTGGTTGTTTACTTTAGGGGTCAGCGAAGCCCCTGCGCAACATACTTGCAAATGGCTGCTGAATACACTTAGAGACCCAGCTGTTCGGGGCAAATCTGTCAGAACACGCTGCATGATCTTTGCTACGTAAACACGTCGATCAGCGATGGAGGCAGGTTCAGGCTATTGACTATGCTGATGCTTCTAGCGCAGCAGCGCAGCAGCCTTGATTGAAGCTTGGCTGAGAGTATATGTTTGTCGGGTAGTGGTGCCGTTGCCAGGATGACAGGAAAGGTCCTGCCAGCCCTTCTTGGTCTTGTTTCCAACAGAAGTTCTAGGGCTCTAGGGAACCCTCTTGAAAAGCACATGGACTTCGCTCCATGTCCAAGCGCACCCCAAAAGAAAGAACCCGGAACCACCAAGAGCCAAGCCTCAATCAACCATGCCCGCACCATACAAAACCTGCCAGCCAGGCTTCCGCAGACCCCTCCTTAGCCATCTTTGCATGTGCTTGTAGGTGTTTTTTTAGCTTGTTCAACTTGTTGGGCTTATGGCTTGAAGGCTTGCTGGAAACCAGTAAACCCTCAACCCTGCACGCCTTGGCGGCGCCAAACCCTACACCGTAACCCAACAAACGCCGCCAGGAGATTTGAGGTGGAACGAAACAGCCCTTCATTTTCGATTCCTCATCTCTGAGGCCACCAAGCCACATACCTTCAAACGCCGGACACCATAGTTTCGGGCTGCAGCTCCCCACGCTTGAGTTTATAGCCCTGCAAAACACCTAGACCTCCAAGAACAAATGGACAGTCGCATGACGGTTCGCAGGAGGTACTGGGTCAGCCAAAACACTCCAAGAGTAAAAAAACAGCGGGACCGAACCCTTGCAGGGCGGTTTGGGGGGCTTAGGGCTTGCTTCGGAGTTTGAACAGAAGGTAGAACCCCTGCTTTGTGCACGGCAGGGAGCCAACTCAGCCCGCGCCAGAACGCCCCTCCCACGCAGCCTCTGAGGATAGAGAAAGGTGATAAGCTCAGGGCTTTTGGGGTCTTTTCCGAAGATGGGGACGCGGTCTTGCCTTCGCACTTCAGGAATTTTGACAGCAACGGCTGGGGAGCTGAAGACTCTACTCCAATCAAAAGACAGCTTGGGCTTTCGTGGGGGATTAGCCTCTAAAGAGGATTTAACCGGGGATTTGGGTTTTAGGCTCTGGTCAAGCTTAGGGTTTAGTTTAGGATTACCCTCCGGCTGGTGCGCGGCTTTCGGACTGGTCCCCCAAAGCCCTTGGGCGCCCGCCACTCTCGCAGCCGCGCTGGCTGGGAGCGTGCGTGGTCCTCCAGCAGCAGACTGGGTGGTGAGCTTGGGATCCCAAGGGCGCAGGCTTTCAGTTTTTTCATGCAGCGAGTGTAGGCGCCGTGGTGGGGCGTAGTCTGTGCAAGGATTTCCTCAGGGTTGTGGCATGGGGCTTAGAGCCAGGTTTCCGTCGGGTGTCGTGCAGCAAGGAGATTGCTTATGGAACAACTCCTGTACAAGTGTGGACAACCACCTTAAAACCCAATCCCAACCGCTGAGCCCTGACCACCGCAAGCCCCAAAACCTAAACCCAAGGATTGGCCAAGGTTCCAGGGCAGTTCGGCCGAGCATATCGGTGCGAGCCTGAGTTGTTTGGAAGGGGACCCTTTTCAGTGCCGGCGCTACAAAGCGATCAAGGACGCACGACAGCAAACACAGGGCACCCGTAGCTTTGTGTCCATCAAATCCTGAGTCGCCTTCCCCAAACCCTGAACTCGCTCACCCTCTGGCTGTTGCAGGCTGTTGCACCCGAATCAGGAAACCATCAAGACGTCAGGCTTCGGGGTGTGCAGGGTGTACAGGGTGCACAGGGTGCACAGGGTGCACAGGGTGTAAGTTTGGTTCGACCCGTTGAACCGCACCTGTCCTGCGCAGGCTCCCACGACCAAGGAAAGGGAACATGACAAATCGACAGATCGACAAAACTCAGCTGCGGGCCGGCTCTGCTGAGTTCGCTAGGAGCAATTTGGCGACCTGCCAAAGATGAAAGCATTAGCTGCGTCTAACTAGCACAAACCCACACGAAATCAAGCCTTTGTTGTGTTGTTCTCTGGTCTCGATGCCCAAAAACACGGTTTTCCCAAACAAACGCCTCAGAACATCAGAGAAAGGTGATAGGTTCAGCGTACAAGGTTGAGTGTGTTTCTGAACTCGGAACTCCAACCTAACAACCTCTGGAACTTCGAGGCGAGAATCGGGGAAAGATACGAAGCATGGCCTTGGAGCCCCTGACGCCCCACACCTAAGTCAGTCGTAGAAGGCTATGTTCAGAGCTTCATAAGGTGCTTCGCCTAGTCTGCCTTGGGCCATACTTGAGGTGTCACGGCTTCAGGGTTCCAAGGTGTTGGGGTTTCGGGTTCAAGTTCAATGGAGATGCAGGGCTTTCGCCTGCACCCGGCCATGCCGCGCGGCACTCATCAGGGCTGTGACCTCACTTTGGGGTTTCTGGCTCGAGGGTTGCGAGTTTGAAGTCTAAGGATCTCGTCTCTCGCTTGGCGTAGGGTGAATCCCAGCACAAAAACTAGATTACCTAAGAGAACTCCACCTTAAGCTGGAAGCGAAACATCTGTGAGGCGCACAGCTGGCTGCGTGTTGCCGAAAAGCCAAGCAGCACCACAACCCCAAGCTGTCTCGGGCAGTCTAACACAATCACCCAGCACTATACCCAAGCGAGCCTGCCACAGCCAAATGCGGAGGAAGGGGGGCCAGGTGACCATGCCCATGTGTGGACGGAGAGGATGCTCGGCATCGCAGGTCAAATCACGAGATAGAAGTTGGCGGAAGAGCATGGACATCTGACATGTAGGGGGTCAGCAACCGGAGCGACCGGTGCCCAAGAAGAGAAGCATAAACGAGCCGCTTGCAGCGACTGGGTCTGGCACACGTAAACACGTGAACACGGAAAACTGTGCAAGGCAAAGATGCATCCTGACGGGGCCAAGAAGGCGACAGAACACAAGTAAGCACCGATTGACTTGACGAACAGGCACATCAAAGACGCGCTGCGAGTCTGTTCTAGTGCTTTAGCACGCTCTCCCCCCGAGTCCTGTTATGGCCTGCAGTTGCTGCTTTGTGGAGCTTCGCCACAATGCACGAAACGGACACAAGATACTGCCCCATTCCAAAAAAAAGTCGGTGAGCTACTTCCGATAGACAGAGCGAGTTTGGAGGACGTTTACTTCGCAAGGTCCCGGTATGCCCGCAGCAACCACTCCTTAGCCTCAGCTTCAAGCTGATGCCGGGCACCCCATGCACCCCCTCACACGCATCTCAAGTTCTCGTCTGTCCTTCCTCCCCTTACCAGGAACTCTCTACTCTTTCTTGTGAGAAGCTGGCTCACACTGGCGCGGGCATCGTAGAAGTCAGCGCGCAAGGCTATGCGGGAGCTCTCTTTGAATAGGCCGCGATGCTTCTCAAATGACAGTACGGGTCTTGGCTTCAGCGGCTTCAGCGGCTTCAGGGCATCTCGCACCCTGAACGCCTAAATAAAACCCGGAAGCCCTCAAACCCACGAACCTTCAAACCCTACAGCGGAAACCCAAACCCTCAAATCTTCGCACCCTCAACCCCTCAAACCCTCAAGCCCTCAAACCCTCCAACCCTCAACCCCTCAAGCCCTCAAACCCTCGGAAAACCCATCAAAAAAAAACTACTTTTCCCGACCAATCTAAAAAAAACTTTCCAAAGATCAAGAAAAAACTTTTTTCCAATCAAAAAAAAACTTTCTTTGGGTATTTATAAGAGATCTAGAATGAATTTATTCGAGAAGCGGGAATCAAAAAAAAAATCCTAATCAAAAAAAATCCTTGGTAGTCTACAAGAGGTTTTGCCTCTCTTGGACGATACCGCATTCGACGCAAAGATATGTATAGTTTAGTGTGCATGTGTGTATATATATATATGTGTATATATGTCTTGGGCGGCAAAACAGACACTCCTTTCTGCACGGCTTAAAAAAAGCGGGGGGGTTGGGGGGCGCAGCCCCCCCCATTTGCAAACACAATGCTCACACGATGTTTTCAACTAGTTTCTTGGCTTTGAAGCACGCTTGGTACGGCTTAAAAAAAGCGGGGGGTTGGGGGGGGTTGGGGGGGGGCGCAGCCCCCCCCCCACCCCCCATTTGCAAACACCCTGCTCACATGATGGGCGTCAACAAGTTTCTTGGGCTTTGAAGCACGCTCTGCACGGCTTAAAAAAGCGGGGGGTTGGGGGGGGCGCAGCCCCCCCCCATTTGCAAACACAATGCTCACACGATGTTTTTCAACTAGTTTCTTGGGCTTTGAAGCACGCTTGGTACGGCTTAAAAAAAGCGGGGGGGGGTTGGGGGGGGCGCAGCCCCAGCCCCATTTGCAAACACCCTGCTCACATGATGGGTGTCAACAAGTTTCTTGGGCTTTGAAGCACGCTCTGCACGGCTTAAAAAAAGCGGGGGGGTTGGGGGGGGGGCAGCCCCCCCCCCCATTTGCAAACACAATGCTCACACGATGTTTTTCAACTAGTTTCTTGGGCTTTGAAGCACGCTTGGTGCGGCTTAAAAGAAGCGTGGGGGGGTCACGCTCTGCACGGCTCAAAAAAAAGAGGCGGGGGGGTTTGGGGGGGCGCAGCCCCCCCCCCCCACTTGCAAACACAATGTTTTTTCAACTAGTTTCTTGGGCTTTGAAGCACGCTTGGTTAGGGTTTAGGGTTTAGGGTTTAGGGTTTAGGGTTTAGGGTTTAGGGTTTAGGGTTTAGGGTTTAGGGTTTAGGGTTTAGGGTTTAGGGTTTAGGGTTTAGGGTTTAGGGTTTAGGGTTTAGGGTTTAGGGTTTAGGGTTTAGGGTTTAGGGTTTAGGGTTTAGGGTTTAGGGTTTAGGGTTTAGGGTTCAGCATCTCAAGTTCGAGCATTTACTAGGCCAGCAGTGTATCTAGGCAACGGAAAAAACCCACCCGCCCAAAGAATCCCATAACATTAAGAAAATAGAAGGTTACTTATTTTCTCTTCGGATGCACCAATCACGCCGTAGTACCAAGCACTTAACACAAGCCACACCCGGCCTTGAGGCCTTTACTGGGCAAGGTCGCCGTTTTACTGGGCAAGGTCGCCGTTTTACTGGGCAAGGTCGATTTTGTGACCGAAGGTCGCCGTTTTACTGGGCAAGGTCGCCGTTTTACTGGGCAAGGTCGCCGTTTTACTGGGCAAGGTCGATTTTGTGACCGAAGGTCGCCGTTTTACTGGGCAAGGTCGCCGTTTTACTGGGCAAGGTCGCCGTTTTTGGTCTTTTGGTCAAAAATCGACCTTGCCCTAAACGGCGACCTTCGGTCGGACCTTGCCCAGTAAAACGCGACCTTGCCCAGTAAACGGCGACCTTGCCAAGTAAAACGGCCGTTTTACTGGGCAAGGTCGCCGTTTTAACTGGGCAAGGTCGCCGTTTTTACTGGGCAAGGTCGATTTTTTGACCAAACCGACCTTGCGCATTAAAACGGCGACCTTGCCCAGTAAAACGGCGACCTTCGGTCCAAAAAACAAAAACGACCTTGCCCGTAAAACGGCAACCAGCCCAGTAAAACGGCCGTTTTACTGGGCAACTGGGCAGGTCGCCGTTTTATGGGCGTTTTTACTGGCAAGATTTTGGTCAAAAATCGACCTTGCCCAGTAAAAACGGCGACCTTGCCCATAAAACGGCGACCTTGCCCAGTAACCCTTAACATTTAAATTATATTATAGAAGAGAAGGTTTAGGGTTTAGGGTTTAGGGTTTAGGGTTTTAGGGTTTAGGGTTTCGGGTTTCGGGTTTCGGGTTTAGGGTTTCGGGTTTAGGGTTTAGGTTTATTTAGGGTTTAGTTTTAGGGTTTAGGGTTTTAGGGCTTAGGGTTGAAGCACGCTTGTACGGCTTAAAAAGCGGGGGGGTTGGGGGGGTGGGGCAGCCCCCCCCCCCCCCATTTGCAACCCTGCTCACATGATGGGCGTCAACAAGTTTCTTGGGCTTTGAAGCACGCTCTGCACGGCTTAAAAAAAAGCGGGGGGTTTGGGGGGGGCGCAGCCCCCCATTTGCAAACACAATGCTCACACGATGTTTTTCAACTAGTTTCTTGGGCTTTGAAGCACGCTGGTACGGCTTAAAAAAGCGGGGGGGTTGGGGGGGCGCAGCCACAGCCCCATTTGCAACACCCTGCCACATGATGGGTGTCAACAAGTTTCTTGGGCTTTGAAGCACGCTCTGCACGGCTTAAAAAAAGCGGGGGGTTTGGGGGGGGGGCCAGCCCCCCCCCATTTGCAAACACAACGCTCACGATGTTTTCAACTAGTTTCTTGGGCTTTGAAGCACGCTTGGTTGAGGGTTTAGGGTTTAGGGTTTAGGTTTTAGGGTTTAGGGTTTAGGTTTAGGGGTTTAGGGTTAGGGTTTAGGGTTTAGGGTTTAGGGTTTAGGGTTTTTTAGGGTTTAGGGTTTAGGGTTTAGGGGTTAGGGTCACATGATGGGTGTCAACAAGTTTCTTGGGCTTTGAAGCACGCTCTGCACGGCTCAAAAAAAGCGGGGGGGTTGGGGGGCAGCCCCCCCCCCATTTGCAAACACAATGCTCACACGATGTTTTTCAACTAGTTTCTTGGGCTTTGAAGCATGCTTGGTGCGGCTTAAAAGAAGCGTGGGGGGGTCACGCTCTGCACGGCTCAAAAAAAAGAGGCGGTGGGGTTTGGGGGGGCGCAGCCCCCCCCCCCACTTGCAAACACAATGTTTTTTCAACTAGTTTCTTGGGCTTTTAGGGTTTAGGGTTTAGGGTTTAGGGTTTAGGGTTTAGGGTTTTGGGTTTAGGGTTTAGGGTTTAGGGTTTAGGGTTTATTTAGGGTTTAGGGTTTAAGGTTTAGGGTTTAGGGTTTAGGGTTCAGGGTTCAGGGTTCAGGGTTCAGGGTTAAGGTTTAGGGTTTAGGGTTTAGGGTTTAGGGTTTAGGGTTTAGGCTTCCTTCCTTCCTTCTTTCCTTCCTTCCCTCCTTCCTTCCTTTCTGCCTTCCTTCCTTTGGTCCTTCTTCCTTCCTTCCTTCCTTTCTTCCTGTCTTTCTTTCCTTCTTTCCTTCTAAAACCTACAAGAAATAACGCTTTCCTATGAAAATACAGAGGGAATTACGGCTTTTCGTACGAAAAACCACGAAAATGCGTCAAATCCTTTAAAAAATAGAGGGAATGGTGGTTTTCTTAGGACAAACCAAGAAAATCGACAAAAACAAACAAAAAATAGGCCCTCCCCTCAAAACGCTTGGAAACTTTACGGGAGTTTAGGGGCCTCGAGAAACTTAGAAACTTTAGGTGAGTTTAAGGGCCTCAGATTGCTCAGAGACGTTAAGGGAGTTTAGGGGCCTCAAGAAACCGAGAAACTTTAAGAGGGTTCAGGGGCGTGAAAACACTTCGAGACTTTAAGGGAGTTTAGGGGCCTCAAAACGCTTAGAGACTAGGGGCATCAGGGAACTTAGAAGCTTTACGTGAGTTTATGGGCCTCAAAACACTTATTAGAGACTTCAAGGACGTTTAGGGGCCTCAAAACGCCTAGAGACTTCAATGAAGTTTAGGAGCTTCAAGAAACTTAGCAACTTTAAGTTAGTTAAGGGGCCTCAGATTGCTTCCTTCCTTCCTTCCTTCCTTCCTTCCTTCCTGCCCTCCCTCCTTCCTTCCTTCCTTCCTTCTTGCCCTCCCTCCTTCCTTCCTTCCTTCCTTCCTGCCTTCCGTCCCTCCCTTCCTCCTCCCTTCCCTCTTGTCCTCCTATCTGAAAAAGGAAAGTTTTTTTTGATTGGAGAAAAGTTTTTTTTGATTGGAAAAAGTTTTTTTTTGATTGGAAAAAAGTTTTTTTGATTGGCATCCCACCCTCGCACCCTCAAACCGTCAGATCTCAAACCTGCAGCTCTCAGGCCGTGTCCCCGCCCCAAACCACCGAGTTGGGATCAGCCCGTCGGAGGAGGATCCTCGAAACGATTGTGGTTCATGCTGGGGCGTGAAGGACTTCAGGGAGTGCGGTTTCCTGAAGGGCTTGGGGTGTCGTGAGGGTTGCCGGGTTTAGAAGTTATGGCTTTTGGGAGGTCTGTTTGTACATGTCCGAAGGCCGTCAAAAGTGGACCCAGCAAACGCCGACAACTTCGCATTTAGAATGCTTAGGGTTTTCTGAACGACCATGCTGCAGAAGACGAGCGTATCGAGTCCAAAGGCAAGCTTTCTAAAAGGCGATATCCTCCCCAAAAACCAAGCGAAGCCACGGGGGTTCAGTGGTTCCAGAGCATACATCCGCAATTCCAGAACAGGATTCTTAGAAGCACCGGCTCCGAAACCTTATTTCTTCCAAAACGCAGGCTTCCAGCGCCTCTGCACAGCCCCAACATCGCCCACCGTGGCCGCCTACTTCAATTCAAGAAGGATTTATTTATTGAGCTGGCGCAAGGCTACTCCAAAAAAATTGGGGGGCCACGCGTGAAGCCCCGAAAAGCAGAAAAAACCTAGCGTTGCTGTCTCGGGGACGTGCAGCCGATCAGACATCAGGTTATCAATTTATCAAAGTGTTGCTATGTCGGGGTGCGTCGTGTCGACCAACAGAAAACATGTGACGCCACCAAGCCATGTTGACAATTGTTGCTATTTCAGGGTACATCACATGACGAACAGGCATGAAGCAAACAAACACCATTGCGCCCTCGAATAAAACAGCCCTCCAGTTTAATTGGCACTTTCAGGACCCGATTGTTTCCATTCTCCAACTGTGGTTACTTTCTGCGCTTTTTTGGTGCCTTTCTGGTGAAAACTCTTCCGTGTGGGATAGGGCCCAAGAATACTTATTCTGTAACCTGGGGCATCTTCTTTATCAACCTATGCCTGGAATCCAAAATGCCTGTAACGTCAAGTCTTAGAATTACCGAGCTCAAACCTTAACAGCCCTCTAACCCATAAAGCAGGAATGCCCAAAGAAGACGAACATCCCAAAAGCCTTCATTAAGAGACATGAATCCTCGCCCGAAGGCGCGAAAACCCTAAAATTCCAAAAATGAAGCTTCTACAGCTCGAACACTCCAAAACTCCAAAACTTCCAACTCTCCACAACTCCACAAAACCCCAACCCTATCCAACCCCATCCAACCCCATCCAACCCCATCCAACCACCCCATCCAACAACCCCATCCAACAACCCCATCCAACAACCCCATCCAACAACCCCATCCAACAACCCCATCCAACAACCCCATCCAACAACCCCATCCAACAACTCCATCCAACAACCCATCCAACCCCATCCAACCATCCAACCCCATCCAACCCCCCAACCTCCCCAGAAACAACTCCAAAACCTCAAGACACAAATGGACCCGGCACCTGGCTTAGTCGTTCTGCCAGCCGCGTGCGATGCTCCGACTGCCTGGCCCGACGGCTCCACAGCCCGGTTAGCCGCTTGGGTGGGTTCAGGGCTTTATATGTGCTCCTGTCAGTGTCGCTACAGAGGATCTCAGGAGCATCTTGCCAAGACAAAGCCGGTTCGGCATGTTCTCGTCCAGGCCTCACGGCAACAGAGGCAGAGAAGGAGAGACAGGCAGAAAGGGAGAAAGAGAGAGAGAGAGAGAAAGAGAGAAAGAGAGAAAGAGAGAAAGAGAGAAAGAGAGAAAGAGAGAAAGAGAGAAAGAGAGAAAGAGAGAAAGAGAGAAAGAGAGAAAGAGAGAAAGAGAGAAAGAGAGAGAAAGAGAGAAAGAGAGAAAGAGAGAACGAGAGAAAGAGAGAAAGAGAGAAAGAGCAAAAGAGCGAAGAGAGAAAGAGAGGAAGAGAGAGAGAGAGAGAAAGGCTGAGTCAGGGAGAGGCTGAGTCAGGGAGAGTCCGAGAGAGAGAGAGAGAAACGAAAGAAAGTGTCAGAGGCAGAGTCTCAGAGAGCGAACCCGAAACCATAAGCTTAAAGCTTTAAACCCGACACTTTGGGCCCGACCTCAACAGCCTAGTTACCTGCCTACGTTACCTCTGCAACAAGAACTTGTAGCCGAAATGTATAGGCGACTGGTATTGAAAAGTAAACATTCAACATGGAACCCTAAAGCCAAAACTACCCCCCAACAATGCAACCCTCTGAAAATCCCTCAAAACATCCTCAGAACCTTAAACCCTGAGAACGGTGAGCAAGGCCGCAGCTTGCCCCCTGTGGGGAGGGAGCCGGACCCAATGGACGCAGAGGCCTTGACTTTGTTTTGTTTCTTCCTCTGTTTTTTTCGGGGGTGGGGGGGCATGGGGGACCTGCGCCAAGAAGCTCTTGAACGTTTTGGAAACAGTTTCTCAGACCGACCTTGCTTGGGAAGGGTTTGTGAAACCCTAATCTGATTGCGCACGGGTGGTGAGATTTTCAGGAGTGTGTTGCCGGGCCCACCTTCGCGCCTGCCAAAGACCTAAAAGACAATGGCTGAGGGCACCGCAGTTATTTTCTGTATATTCAAGGATTTTGAGGGCTGGGTGTTTGGAGCTTGGGGCGTGTTCAGGGAGGGGAAGGGCGGTGAGGCTGATAGGGTTCAATGGCCTAGCCGAATCCACAATCATCCGAGAGCTGGGCGCCGGACGTGCCCCCACCACTCTGCGCAGGCTGCTGGCTATCCGAACCTAGAGGCTTCTGAGGCTGAAATCCTAGCCACCATTCCAAACTCAACCCTCAACACTCCTTGAAAAAGCCCTTACAACAGCGCCTCCAAAGAAGCGCGGCGTGCTGCCACCCGCAAACGGCGTTGGCGAAGCCGCTGGAGGACCTGCGGATCTCAACGTACAAGAGGGCTCACAGCTTTCACAAAGGGCTTACAGTTACAAGGGTTTTTTCCCGGTGTTGTTTGGGCCTTTGGGGGTTTGGGGCCTTTGGGCCTGCTTGCTGGGTTCTGCAGGTTGAGTGGCTTTCCGTTCGGGCTGAGAGCCGAACGGTCCAAAAACTCACCTGTCGTTATACAGATAGAGCCTGCAGAAGATATAGAATCTGATGCTGACCCCTTGGACAACACCATCTAGAGTGTCAGATGGGGTCAGATGGGGTCAGACGGGGTCAGACAGGGTCAGATAGGGTCAGATGGGGTCAGATGGGGTGTCAGATGGGGTCAGATGCAGTCAGATGGGGTGAGGTGGTCCGGGCTTGGGGCTTTGGGTTATGCTTGGCAGATACAGAAACAGACAAAACCCAGCAACAACACCCAAAATGCTGCGTCGTGAAGCCCCGCCTGGCACTCCGGATTCGATACCCAAGGATCGCTTGAGCTCCTCGCGGCTCGCAGGTGTTTGTTAATACCATGAGAAGGTCAAAACGCCCAATCCTAAACCTTCCGAAGGTCTGTAAGCGCCCGCAGAGAGCGCCGACTCGTTGAAGCCCCTAGACATGAAGCTCGCTTGAGAAGCTGTGATGCGGTTCATGCTTCAGGGTTCAGGGCCCCACAAGGTCGGCCCGAAGACATCAAGAGTGGGCCCTCCTGGCAAAGTAGCCTTCAGACATCCTTAAACGCGACGTGGTGTCTACCCTGGCAAAACTCGTCATTCTACATATTTTTGTGTGGGGTTGTGAAACTTGATCTCAGTTTTTCTCCCCGCCCGGGTTTGTACTCGCTCAGGTCTCTTGGTCCGGGCTTCCCCCCGCAGCAAATCTTACGAAGAATCCCGCAAAGTATCCCGACAGTGCCCCCAGAGCATTCCAAGGACTCCAAGAGAGCACTCCGAGGGGCCAAAAGCTACAAAAAGCGCACCCAAGCAAACACATCCAACATCTTCGCGCGACACGTAGCGGCGCAAGCCTCAGACAGCCGCGCGGGGCTTAGGCGGGAGCGTTTTAAGTGCGGAAAGTTTTGGACCACAATTTGTGCTCCCTCCAGGCACGGGCTGCGCGTGACTTTCTGGCTCGCTATCCGTGAGTTCCATGGCAAATGGCAGCAAATCGCAGCATGCTCTTGGCTTCACTGAGGGTGCCGACGGGTGTGCCGGGTGAGTGCCCTAAACATGTCTAAACCCTCTAAATTCCTCTGAAATGTGGAAGCCCATAGTGTTGGCACCGTGCTGGGGGACCCCGACGCACCTCTGAACGCAGAGCCGCAGGAAAGGCACCTAAAAATCCTGGATCCTGAATACCAACACCAAGACCCCCCTTCGGGCCTCCACGCTTTCCGTGCTCGCGTTGATGAGCCCTTGGAGCACCGAAACCTTTGCTGGCTAAACCTTTATGATTTGCATTCAACAAGTACCCTAATATAGCACAACCGCACAAATATCATACCATGATTAGTCAGGGTCAACGTCGTCATCAACATGACCCGGGAACATCAAGATTGTCGTTGGAAGCTGCCACCAAAGGTCTAGCCGAGTCTAGCCGGTGGGCCCAAGGGGAGCTTCATGGGCTGGGCTGTGGCGTTTTGAGGTTTAGGGAATGAGACCGTAAACCCCCAAACCCAAACCAGGACCTGTGCAGCCAGGCTGCGTAGTCGCGCAGCTGTGTCTTGGAAGCGCCTACACCTGGTCACATGTCCGAAGCAAGCTCGACACTAGCCTTGGTACAGCCGAAAAAAACCTTTGAACCCTGAACCCCTAGATCTACAGTGGTGAAAAGCCAGCGTGAGCCCGTCTTCTCAATCAGCAGCCTTTGAAAGCCTCCTTGGAAGGGGGGCTGGCATGTAGCATGGCCATATGCAGGCAGATCGGGTTGTGGCACAGCCCTGACCATCGTTGACCGCCGCAGACCTAAACATCTCCTTCAACGCTGCAACGCTGCAGGCTGTAGCTGGGTCTTGGGGCCTAGATTTTGCTAGGACTAATAGTTAAACTCAACTGGGGATGTGAGATCAATTTGTACAAAGTCGCATGCAACAACCCTAGAGCCACAAACCCCTAAAAGGGGTTTACGGTTTAGGCGGTTATATAAAGGTTCCCAACCTCCGAAACTCTAAGACCAGGGCGAGCAAGGGCCGCCCAGCGAGCAGTGACTGTCCGAGCCACGGCAGCCTACAAGCAGAAAGGCTAAGGAGTATAAAAAAAGTTGTATAGTGTCTATAAAGAGCCCATAGAAACGAGGCCATCAAAAGCAGGGCTCTCTCTGCACGACAACTTGACAAGAGTCGTTGGATTGTTATTCTCACTAACCTTTAAGGCTAAGGTTGTATTAGAGCAACGCACCGTTTTATCGGTAATACAGAAACAAGTATTCACAACACCATCTTCAGCAATCAGCTTCAGTCCCAAACTGTCGCCCCTACATAGCCTGCGTTGAGCTGGTCATGCTTTCAAGAGGAAAGCTTTGGGCATGGAAAAACCCCGCGCCGTGTATCCCCAGGGTCGCAGGTTTAGGGTGTTGAGGCTCAAGATCTGAGAACGCGGCCCTATACCAAAAAACAAGCTGAGCCATTTTGCAGCAGCACAAGATAGCACAATGCAAACGTGTATTAACAAGTATGTCTCCGACCCAGTCTGCTGCGGGCGTGCAGGATTTCATGGTCCTGCTTCCATCACAGGTTGCCCCTCCAGATCCACTCATTGATGGAAGCGTGAACCCGCATGCTGGAGCGCGATGAAAATCTCGGCATGCTGCTGTAACCCCTCCCTAAGCCTAACTCCTGAGCCCCAGTCCCTACGCTTCAAGCTGCAAAATGCTGCAAGCCTCAAGTCAGCTCCGAGCACATTCTCGGACTAAAAACAATGAAGAACAATAGCAGACAAGAGAACCCAAAAACGCACAACATGAGTATTTCAAATGATGCTTGAGGACTTGTGGGTTTCCAGACAAGTGCAAGTGCGAAAGGTCTAAGTGGTCTAGGCCTGCGACCTGAACAACTTAGTGCTCTCTCCGCCAAATCTTGCACAGATGACACTGAGACACGCGCGCCGAGAAGGGTCTCCAACACATGAAGTCATTCGCGCAGGACAGAATTGTCTGCTTCTGCATGAAACCGCTCTGGCGTTATGCAATTTGCCTCGTCACGCTCCCACCTTCATTGCGCTGCGTCATTTCAATGTTGCTCTTCTTCCCATGCGCCTAAACCCCAAACCCTGAAATTGCCGACTGGAAGGTTTCGGGTGGCGCAGCTGCCTCAACATATTGCACGAGGCTGCATGCCCCTCTGCATGAAAATTCAGATCCGCAGAAGACAAGTCTTGCGATTGAAGCTTTGCGAAAACTAGCTGAAGCGATGTAAGGCTTTTGTTTGCAGATGTGGGTACCGGGTTCATTTTGACGGTCGTGGATTTCACGCTGGAGGTGGTTTTGTTGATGCTGGGAATTGCAGGCCCCTTATCATTCCAACCACATCGTGGAGACTTGCCCAGTGCTCTACTGGCGCAATGAGAGCCATTTTGGGTCCTCGTGAACTTCTCTAGCGAGACAAGCGGAGAATAGATTGGATGTCGCACAGGATCTCAGCCCTTCCTCTATCTGTACAGAAAGCAGAGTGAAGTGTTTGCTTGTGCGGTCTGGAGCGTGCTGTCTCCAGCACGGCTTTCGCAGAATTCTGGGAAGATCTGCTCTGATCCCGTGGCGAACCGAGGCCTGTGCTTGCGCATATACATCACAGTGCAGTGGAATCTCTATCGTTAGGGCAAACGGCTTTAAGCTTGATGAATTCAGGCCATTCGTGAAATTAAGCAGTGCATGCGATTCCATGAACCGAGCCTCCTAGTAGAAGGCTGGCAAACTCAGCAGTCGACGCGCAACCCGCAGAGCCCCATGGGACCCATTTCCTAGTTCTGAAGCCTCAACTACGGAAGAGAAAAAGCTGTAACCACAAGATACCACGTCAAGAAGAATATTGCCGAGGCTGCGTATCACTGTCAGCGATGAATCACACAGGACGTCGCAAGCGTGCACAGCTTGGACAGCGTGCTCCCGTGCTGTGCGTGTGCAGCCTGGAGTTGCACGCTACTGCACTTGGCAGGCTGTGATACGAACAGCGCACTTGTTGCGACGATATCTGATCAGCTCACGAAGTGGGGGTTGTTCAACATTAGGGCCAGTTTTGACGGGACCTTCTTTTTTAGAAGTATAACGCCACCTATCAGGCTGCTTATGAACAATGAAAAGCTCCTAAGGCCCATAGGTAACAACCCGCACATATCTATACTCAGCATTATCTGACCACAGACATGCCGAAGCGGCAATGTAAAGGCAGAGGCGTCATCCCCTGCAGACGTGTGATTCGATGCACAGCCCGAGTAGCCCAACACCGCAATACCCTACACTCTGAGCACTTCGCGCTTGGATTAGGGTGTTGGAGTTGGAAGAAATTGCAAAATTAGAGTGTAAGGAAGGCCTCACGCCTGCAGCCCAGCAGCGTCTAGGCCTGTGTTTTTGAGCTGTTTGTTCACTCCCCGAATGCCGGTGCGGCCGGACGACATTGGCGCAAGTCTTCTCGACATGTCGAATTTTTCGGGCTGCAACATATGCTCGAACCATAGGAACCGAGCCGCGGACTCCGCAGGAAAACCTGAGCACAGCCTGATCTGCTGACCAGAGCTTCACGGAGCCAGGGCCCTTCGACCAACAAGCTCATTGGCTCAGGAATTACGAAGTCGCGCGGGTGAGAAAAGGACGTCTGCGTTAGCAACTACGCAGACTGGCCTGGCTTTCAAGTGCTGATTAAAGTAGCGGACGGCAACCGACAAGTGCGCATCACATCATAATTAGGGCTCACGGTCTGGGGGTCGAGCAGCTTTTCTGGGTTCCGGATATGGGATGATATGGGCATACCGCGTCCTGACTTCGAGCAAAGACTCAACGCACCTAAAAACAAATGACCCTTCCTGCATGATCAGCAAACATGCACGGTGCTGTTTCAGATTACGCAAGTCTGTCTGCAAAGCTGTGTATTTCCTTTGAGAGCAATAGTTGAAACCTACGGACTAGGTTGTTAGTTTCAATGTCTAACTACACTACACCTAACTTCCATGGGCTTCCTCGCACTGTGCGGGAGTCGGCCGATGCCCGAAGAACATTCCGTCTCATTCATCTCCATCCGCTACCTGGGGAACGCTTCTGAGTTCTACGAAGAATGAGTTCTTCGATATTGCCGGGCTGCACGACAAACCCTAAAGCAATATGGCTCGCCGTTGTGTCTTCCGCTTGTTTGCTGGTTCGGTTTCTTTGACTTGGTTTTGTGGATTGCTTCCACTTGTGTTTCTCGGCTCGTCGGGTTCTTCCTGTCTTCCTCTGTACTATTCCTCGTCCTTCATTCCCTCCTTAAATTTTGAACAAGAATCCCTAAAGCCCACGCAATACGTCCAACACCCTGCACCGAAACCCGATGCTGCAATGGAATCCCTGAAGACTAGGGTGCTGGTGGCTTGAGACATGGAAATGGGGGGGGACTTTGGATGTGGGTAAAGGGGGGCTTAGGGTTCGGCGCTGAGGGGCTTTTGGGATTTGGGCAACACATACTTAACTCAACAACCTCCACCCTTCTGCCGAAGATCTCCGAAGCTTCAGGCAAATAAGGGTTAGCTGTAGATGCTTGTTGGCCTTTTCTTGTCAAAAACGATTCCGAAGGGCACCCCGAACTCTCAACTTTCAACCCAGTCAGCCAGAATCCCACACTTTTCAGCAACGCGGCCTGTTTAAGAAGAAAGCTTCAGAACTCCGCTGTTGAAGCCCAGGGTGCCTGCCATCGCCTTGGTGGAAGTCAAGAGAAAACTGCAATTCAGAGTGTAAAGAGACAGAGCAGTGGTTGCAAACATATGTTCCCAATGTAATGCCCCGAACCTCTTCCCTACCGGTGGTGAGAACTGGAAGCTGGAGTCCGGGTTGGCGGATTGACAGCAACAGTGTTCCAGCATATTGTAATCTAAGCATCAGGAGGTTAGCCTCTAATTGTTTTACTGGGCCCTATAGGTCGAATCCCAAAAAAGGACTGCGGACCACCTGCAAACCTAGATACCGTAGAAAACGACCATGACATCTTGACCGGTTGGCAGCCGATCCGATCCAAGCTTGGCTAAGCAGAGGCTAAGTGCGCGCCAGGCGGCATGTCAACTACGAGGCGGGCTACTCACAAACAACAAAAATATCTAAGCCTCTAAACTCCAAGCCGGGAGCCTTAAGCCCCAAACACACACCCTGAGCCTACTGCAAGCCTCAACTTTCCCGCTTCACACCAGGGAGCCACTGTGAAGTAGAGGAACTTTTGCACCTGGTGCGCGGAGCAACTTTCAGGCTGCGGGGCATATTCCGGGGCTCAGGGCTTGAGGCTGTTGACCTTACCTCACCTGTGTTGAAGAATGCCTCACTTGCCTTTCACAAGGTGAGAACGTGGACTTAACACCGACCCTTCAAGCGATAACAAGTAACAGGAAGCTGGCGAAACTGGCTAGTGACCTTTTCGTGAAAGCCACCCTTCCCATCAAGTGCCAGCAAGAAAGCACAAACGGCACGGTGGCACTTTGTGAAGACCCACCCATCTCACATTCTGTTGGCGCAGACCTGTTACAAGCCACCCCACCTCATGCACAAGAGGCAGCGGGAAACTGCCATGTGAGATGTTGGTAAAGTCCCCGACCCTCCCATCAAGGCAAAAGCATGGAGGCAACAGGACTTTGCGAAGGCCGTGCCTCTGCACGCAAACAAACTGCCCAGTAAGTTCTTGTAACCCACCCCCTTCCGACACTCTTGGCCGCCCCGTTGCAAAAAAAGATGCAGCAAGCATCTCCAACCGTGACCCTTGTTGCACACAAGAATACACCCGCCAGCGATCTAAAGACACCGCGAGCGAGACGAACAAGCAAACTGTTTTGGGGGCTTGACGTTGAGCCGTCCCTGCAACAGCTCCACCAAAAACAGTGCAATTCTCGGCCGAGCCGCACAAAGGTCTCCAACCCTGAACTTCTTCGCACACAAAACACACCACAACATGTTCCGAACCCCCGTCCGAGGCGGGTCGCGCAGCGTTAAAATCAAACCTAAACTCTAGGAGCATCCGATTCGCCCAGGCACGAGGCCCAGTGTCAAACACGTGTCCCAGATG